CACACACACACACACACACACACACACACACACACACACACACACACTCACCAGTCATTTGGGGGCTTTCTCATTTATTTAGATTTCCAAATTTGAAAAACTTCTGACTTCAGCACGTAGCTGCCCAGAGAGGCATGCCCCTGACAGGTTGTTTAACCAACATTTACTAAATAACAGCTTGATGGGGCAACTGGGTGGTTCAGGTCATAATCCCAGGGTCCTGGGATCAAGCCCCACATCAGGTTCCCTGCTTAGTGGGGAGTCTGCTTCTCTCCCACTCCTCCTGCTTGTGCTCTCTCTCTCAAATAAATAAAATAAAACCTTTAAAAACAAATAAACACAGCTTGATCCCAGCTCTCTGCTGGATAATGACATGAAGACAGGTCTCTGCCCTTCAGGAGCCATGAGTCTAGTAGGGGAGATAGACACTGAAACATAATCACAGAGGCTTATTTAGGGAACTGCAAGTGGTTCTGCTGGGGTGGAAGATGCTAAGGAGAAAGCAGCTCTCAGAAGTGCAGGAGAGAAGCTAAAGGTAACATCTGATGACAGCCAACAATTATAGCACTTCCTCCTTTCCACAGATTAATGCAACCACTCATCACAAAGACACCATGAGATAGGAACTCTTATTACCACTATTTACAGATGGGGGAACTGAGGGACCACAGGTGAAGTAACTTGCTTGAGGCTCATAGTCTGGCTCCAGCATCCATGCTCTTAACCAATATACTAAACCAGCATATGGCAGACCCTGTATATTCATATGTGATTTTATTTTCCATTTATAGAAGTATGGTTTCAGCACACATAGTGGCAACTAAACCAGGCTTCATAGTACAGTTCAGCCAGTTACTAGCTGTGTTGTCTTGGAGAAATTATTTAACCTCTGTGCCTCAATTTCCTCATCTGGAAACCAATAATAATAGTACTGAGTTGTTGTGAGAATTAAACGGGTTAATACACATGAAGTATTTGGGCTGCTGTGTGAATAATGGGCTGAAGGGGGCAAGAGAGAGACCAAAGAGAATACCTAGGAGAAAATTGTGTTAGTCAAAGCCAGGGGTGGCTTCAGCCAAGAAAGGCCTCTTGAAAGTGGGGAAAATTGTACCTCACTCACAGAGCTATAGTGAGAAGACAATAAAATAATGTGGAAATATGCTTAAACATGTTTAGTTCAGGGGCACCTGGCTGGCTCAGTCGGTGGAGCGAGTGACTCTTGATCTTGGGGGTGTGAGTTCAAGCCCTACCTTGGATGTAGAGATTACTTAAAAATAAAATCTTAAAAAAAGTGTTTAGTTCGTAGTAAAAACCTTGAATTAGTTTATTATGGATAACTTCTAATATATACAAAAGTAATATAATATTTTCAGAACCCAGCTTCAACAACTTTCAACACATGGACAACCTTATTTCACTTATATCTCCATCCACTTACTCCCTCTCCTATTATTTTGAAGCAAATTCCATACATCATATAATTTCTTTTTTTTTTTTTAAAGATTTTATTTATTTATTTGACAGAGAGAGAGAGCACGCACAAGTAGGCAGAACAGCAGGCAGAGGGAGAGGAAGAAGCAGGCTCTCCGCTAAGCAGGGAGCCCGATGCGGGGCTCGATCCCAGGACCCTGGGATCATGACCTGAGCCGAAGGCAGGCGCTTAACCGCCTGAGCCACCCAGGCGCCCCCATCATATAATTTCTTATGTGAATATTTCAGTATGTATCTCTAAAAGATAAGGACTATTTTTAAAAACATAACCACAATGCCATTAGCACACTTAAAAATTAATAACTTTTAAAATCAAATACACAGGCAGCATTCAAATATTCAATTGTCTCATCAATGCCATCTATTTTTTTTTTAAGATTTTATTTATTTGACAGAGAGAGAACACAAGCAGGGGGAGTGGGAGAGAGAGAAGCAGGCTCCCCACTGAGCAGGGAGCCTGACGTGGGGCTCTATCCTAGGACCCTGGGATCATGACCTGAGCCAAAGGCAGACGCTTAACTGACTGACCC